TTTCACATAGACAAGTCACCTATTAAAATAAGACCACTTTAAATTTTTTTTGCATTTTTCATTAATATAAACAATCTATGCATTTTTTATTATTTTGAAAAATCTATGTATTTTTCATCTCTTTGAAAAATCTTTTTTTTTTATTGGGTAGGTCACCCATTACAATAAAATTACCTCAAAAAAACCTTTTTTTTTTAATTTTCTCTAGGTAGGACCACTTTAAAATTTCTAAATTTTCAAAACAAATATTTAGATTTTACTCTGAATGCGCTTTCTACCCCTCCAAAGGATTCATTATTTTTCAATATGATGAGTCCATCATCTCTCATTTTTTTTTCTTTACAATACTTATTATCTAAAGTTTCTTATTAGACTTTCTATCTTAAGAATTGTAAAGAAGAAGGCAACTATCATAACCCAATTATGAGTTATTCCTTAAAATTTACCCTTTTTAAATAAAAAAAATACCGGGGGACAATATGAAGAAAGCAAGTTGATGAATCAAACTATAATTTTTAGAGAAAATTAAAGACCTAATTGTATCTCTTATGCCCCAAAATGGAGAAAAAAATACAAATTCAAGATCAAATTAATTGTTTATTGGATAAATTTGCATAAAAATCAAGTTTAAGGATATAATGAAATTTTTAATAAACCAATTTGATTTAATCATGGGCCAAATTCAATTTGAATTATGTTTAAGAATTAATTTGGATCCAATTAAAAGATTTAATTAAATGCAAGTACTTAATTATACTTTAAATGGATCAAATTAATTTTAGGGTTTAATTGGTGAAAAATTAAGTTTGGGAGACTAACTTGAGCTTAATTGAGATGATTGAAATTTTAAGAGACTAAATTTAATTTTTACCAAGTTAATTGATTGAAATTAGAGACAAAATCATAAAAAAATAAAAGTTTAGATCATATTCAAAGAGGGAGAACTAAAATGAACTTTGGTCGAAATCAGAACTTTGATACTGTTCATTTTTTTCTTTAAATCTCTAAAATGACAACTCAGGGAGGCTATTCTACAGGTGCATTTAATGCATTTAACTTTCATAAACATTGACAAATCTTGCCAACTCAATTAGTCTTTTCTTGCAGATTTGACAACTCAGGATGCCTACTTCGAGTTAATGGTTAGGATTCTTACCAATTGAATTAAGGGTTGAAAGTTTTCTCCAGTATAGACAAGATTGCTCTCTTTCACCGCCTATAAATAAATATTGATTTCATGGTCTGAAAGAGGAAAAAATCAAATCTAAAGTCAACTAAAAACTAGATTCTTTGCCTCGTTTTTGCAGTTTTTTTCTCCCTCTCTCTCTACACCATTCCAGCCACTAACCGGAGCCGCCATCAACCGGAGCCTCCACCATAAGAAGCCAACACAACTACCAATCGACAATCAAGCTGTCATCATGGTTCTCTCTCTTCTCCTTCTAGCCTTTCTCTCTCCTATACAATTTTTTTCTTCTTCCTCCCACAACAGACTTCGACCATTGTCATCTTAGCCAAAGCCTTATGAGCCACAGGATAGACATCCTTAGCACGTCTAAGATCCCTAAGCCATGCAACTTTCTCCTTCGTACGTTGCCTCCTTTTTCTTCGTTGAAGCCGCTGCCTACAAAATTCATTTTTGCATGTGGCGATAGAATAATTAGCTTGCCTTTGGGTCGGGCTAATTTTGGCTCAGTCAAAATGGTTGGGTTGGATCTAACCCAGCCCCATTTAAAAAAAAATCTCATATATTTTTCTATTAATTTTGTATAATATTGAGTTGTATATTTACATTGTAAAACATAAATACGATATTAAAATAGCTGATTTTCTCTGAAATATTTCAAAAAAAATTCAAAACATTTTCAAAAAAGAAAAAAATATTTTGTTGCATATGGTCAAATATTAAAATTTTTCCAAGCATATTTTTCTTGAAAAAAAAACAAAAATTGCATATTTTTCATGTTTAAAAAAATTCAAAAAGAATATCATAACCGGTTTATAATTATCCATTATGATTTGACCAACATGTCAAAAATCTTTTTTCAATCTTTTTTTAGGATTCGGATGTAGACTTTAATATTTAAGAGGTGTAAAATCACATGATAAAGTGCACCCATAGATAATAAAGATATAAAGTGTAAAAATATGATGTCAAAATTCAGACTTTAATTAGAATTTAACCCGACAAGGTAGAAATTTTCCTGTGAAGAGAGATCTGTCTTAAACCTTAAGAAAGACCAACAAATAGAAACCTGACTTAGAAAAAAACAATTAAACAACAATGCAGCTTAAGTATGGTATACTAGGGTGATGTGTCTTTTTCTTGCACAACCAATCTCTTACTCAAATTCTTATAAACTAGAGGTTCCTAGTGACTATAATGCTAGTTGACGACTCTAAATATTAATCATAATTTTATTATTAAATCCAAAATTTTTTTCAATACATAATACCTCACGTACCCGTGACATATATAAAAAACATTTAAGTAGAAATTGAAAATTCATACGTACATGTGATTGAGAACTATGCTTTTTTTAAAAGAAGGAGAACTATATTAATCATAATAAAAAATAAAATTAAAAAATTAAAAAAAATATAAATCAAAATATTTAATTTTATAGAATAAAATATTAAATAATCAAATTAGTCCAAAAATAAAACTTTTTAAATTAAATAATCAATTAAATTTATATATTTTATCTAGTCTAAATAGTTAATAACTTATATGTCGTGCTTTACAAATTAAGATGAACTGCGATTAATACATTAATATATGCAAAATATCTTTTTTAATATAAAATGAAGATTGTCGTGGCAAAAATAAAAGATGAAACTGACGATCATAATTTGAAATGCGGTTAAACACATCATACAAACATACTCTCCAGGGGATCCACGTCAGTGAGATAGGTTCATAATGGATCAGTCACTTCAATTCCGAATTTGGCTTGCTAATGACAGACCTTGAAGATGGTCATGGCGATGAACCTTTTAAAATCGTTCGTTTATCCAGCAGCTACTCTTATACTGACAATAAACCACCATGCTCACGTTGAACTGGTTTTTTTATTAAAATAAATTAATTATTTTTTTAATATTTTTAAATTATTTTAATACAATGATGTTAAAAATAATTTAAATAAAAAATAATTCCTACATAGATCCTGTTGAATACTTGGTGTCCAAGTCTTAATAAAACCAGAAGAAACGACCGCCAATGATTGAAAGAAATGCTAGTTTTTTTAATGTTTTTTTTTGTTTATTTGCCATATTAAACTCATTTTAAAAAATTAAAAAATATTTTTTAATATATTTTTAAATAAAAATACTTTAAAAATATCTATTATCACAATAATAAATATTAGCTTTCCATTAGCATTTTACATCATGGTGGTTGTAACTAACGAAGTCCTTAAATTCAATTAGCTTAAAAATAAAATTTTTAAGTTGAATAATAGATCAATTAATTAATTCTAATAATTTTATACAATAAAAATACTTTCTAGGTGAAGATAGCATGCGTAAAAAAATATATTTCGATAAAAGTGGAGACAGTCGTGGCGAGGATAAAGGATATAACTGCCGACAAACACACTCTCCAGGGGATCCACGTCAGTGAGATAGGCTCATTATGGATCGGTCAAGTCAATTCCGAATTTGTCTAGTATCAATGGCTGCCTAACGCGAGCCCACCTCGAAGATGGTCATGGCGATGAGCTTTTTAAAATCGTTCGATTATCCAGCCGACCACTCTTATACTGACAATAAACCACCACGCTCATCGTACAACCATTCATTGTCGAATCATCGACCAGCCTGCTGGAAACTTTGTTCTCTACTTTCTAAGCTTGCCCTTTGTCTCGAATACTTGTGGTTTCTCTCTCTTTTATATTGTCTCCAACCATCTGGCCATCTGTTTTTACATGAATCATTTTATTTTTAACTTTTTAACTTTTTATTTCCATATTATTTTAATATATTGATATCAAAATAATTTTTTAAAATAAAAAATATTATTTTAATATATTTTAAAAGTAAAAACATTTTACAAAATTATTTACCCTTTTATATGTTCACTTTAGAAATAATTTTTAAAAAATATTATAATAATATATTTTAAAATAAAAATATTTTTAAAAATAATCTTTACTAAACTTGCAAACAGTTTATTATTGTCTATGGAACATCTCAATGTCAGAACTTTACGTGGGCCATGTGAAAACATTGCTCCAACATGTATTTTTTTTTTTTTTGTTAATAACGAGATACTTATATCTCATGAATAAAATAACCAAATAAATTTTAAAAATCAACATAAAATTAATTGAAAAAACCAACCTGGGATATAATATATAAAATTAAGAAAAAAAACAGATTATAAAATTTTAAAAGATTTTAAATTGGTTTTAGATTTAAGAAATTAAAAAAATTAAACCAAATGAAACCAAACAATTTGTTTCTTAAAACAAAAAACATACTCATTACATGAGAGTCGATCTAAAAAGATTAACTAAAAAACCCACGGACGATATTGGGTTTTTAATAAAAAAAAAATGAATTGAATTAAATCAAAACATTTAATTTGAACGGGTAATTCAAAACGGTTCAATTTATTTTTATTTTTAAAAATTAACATGGTTGGATTTTTTTTTCAAAACCAAACCAACCGTTCTTACCCACGACTTCAATGGGTGGACCGTTAGCGGCGCTATTCTACTTCATTGTAATAGCGGAAAGGCTCACAACCGATGGACCGGTTGAATCATGATCTTATTCTGAGGGTTATAAAGTTGACAATCGAACTCCACAGTCTAGTTCGGGAAACCCCCAGCATCACGCCGGACGGCAACCCAAACTGAGTCACTTGAATGCAAATTCAAGTTGTTGATATCCTCAATTATGTTCTTTCAAAGCCTTACTGGCACCCCCAAGTTGATCATGAGATGCTGTGCTTAATCTAAACACTATCCAGAAGCAAAGATATTGGCCGGAAACTCTTTAATTATATTGAAAGGAAAATTGTATTCGGAAAACGGGAAATGTACAGCGAAAGCTCACTCCAAATACAACGATACGATCTCAACCCTTTACAGTACTAGTGAATTACAATGTCGAAGCCCTCTCTCTATATATAAGCGGCTGCTTGATGCTGCAGATATATACTTAAAAAGGCCGATCCCGTCGTCAAGATTTGTAGTCATAGACTCACTCATCGAAGTGGTTTCATCTTTACTGGTCTGCCCAGAAAAGCTCAATATATATAGTTTGATCAAAGAGGCTCGATGCAGAGCTCGATCGACTAGTTCCGAGTTGCTGAGGTTGTTTTCTTGACCTTGATTGTGAATTGTTCGCCGGCAGCTTGATCCTTTTCTCTATCCAAGGCAATTTCTATTACGTCGCCGACCTTGAGATGCTTTGAGCGAACAAATACAAACCAATCCCCAGAAAGGGCTGGTTTCGAACCCCCTCCTGGGGGGACTCTACAACGAAATGTCCAAACTTGGCCATCCTCGTCTTTAAACTTCAAATAAGCTTCATGGCCTCTCGGGAAATCTTTTATACAGTTTTCTGAGAGCAGTAGCCTTCTCTCAATATCAATGTCGTTGAGTTTCTTGGTGAAGTTTTTTTCCATTGCTTATCTCGAAGAAGTAGATGAGCAATTGATGAGGCAACTTGCTCTTTGCAAGAGGATTTATATAGTGCCGCAGCCTACAAAACTGTGAAAAGGAAGCGAGCGTTAAGGTCCTTGTTCTAATAAGTGAGTGGTGGGTCCACAGACAGAAAGAAAAGCCAGAATCATGCCATCGTATGTTCATCTTTCGTCCGATTGTGAATTGTGATCGAAATAAAATGAAAAGAAAAGAAAAGAAAAGAAATAATCACCTTTCGATTGATTGGTTATTTTAAAGCTCCAGAAAAGAAACATGATTAAAGGTCCCACGTTTCTGCGAGATCATCTAACATCACTATCATTTCTTCGTACGTATCGCACGATCATCTAACGAGTTCTCGGACTCCACTAAAAGTTGTCTCTCTCCACACAAACTCACACACTCACTGAAGAGATTGGCATTCACTGAAAGTCGTTTTTTAAAATATTTATTATTTCAAAATATATTAAAATAATTATTTTAAAATTAATCTGGCATAAACATATCAAAAACAGTTTAAAAACATGAAAAAATAATAATTTAAAACTTATTTAAAAAAATACAATATAAATATAAATAAATTATGATATCTATAGCTAGGCAATGTTAGACATGAATTGTACCTCATTAATAGGTTGTATATGATGAGAGGTTTGAATTAAAAAAAAATCAAGAATGCTTTACCATGAATTCTAATTATATATATAAAAAAATCTAACTAAAAGATATGAACACTTAAATAAAAAAGAATGGTTTGAATGTTTGATAGGAGAGAGGGACTAGCACCATAAATTCAAAGGTGGCTAACAGAAAGTAGGTCCACATCCCCAAGATAGAGAAAACATTAGTGAGCCATCTCCCACATGAAGTAAATAAAAAAAAAAAAAAACACAAATAAAGAAAGAAAGAAAAACCAAAGGTGGGCTAGGTTTGAAAAAAGAGAATCATGTTTCAGATTTTCTATTTTTAATAAATCAGCTTCATTGGATGTTGATCGAAAGGGCCCACGTAAATAAGTATTTAATTTATTAAAATTAGTTTTTTATACGATCAAATAATATTGAAAATATAAATACATATTAAATTAATTAAATAAAAAAATAGTATAGAGGGCTGCACATATCAAAAAATATTATCTAAAAAAAATATTTTTTATTTTAAAAAATAAAATTTTTTTTTATAGAAAAGATTAAAAAAATTATAAATAAATCAAAATAATCTTTTCAAAAATTAAATCATTACAAGATTTCACAATTTTACTAATAGACATATTCTATCAGTATGTGATTAAGAATTCATCAAAAATTTATTTACCAACGTATTCACTGACGAAATACGTCTGTCAGCTTTCCTTTCATCGGTAATACCACCATCCGTAATTATATCGGTCGGCAACACAAAAAAAAACATTTACCGATGGTTTTGCAGACCGAAATTGCACGCAAAAAAAAAAAGTTTCTCGCTTGAAATATACCATGGATAATAGTATAACATACTGACGGATACATACCGTCGGTAAAGTTATCGGTGAGTGTTTGAGATACCGACTAAAGGTATCCGTTTGTATATTCTTCGGTCATTGTGATAGGTATTGTCAAATACTGATGGATAAAGTCTGTCGGCAAAGTTGTCGGTGAGTGTGAAATACTAACCGAATATATCCGTTTGTAAATTCATGGTGAATATGGCAGCAACTGTCAAATACCAACGGATATATTTCGTCGGTAAAACCCTTTATGATTATTTTTAAATATGTTTTTAAAAAATTATTTAGAATACATAATATAAAATTATATAAATGAATAGTAATAAAAACCAATTATGCAAATAAAGTTTTTATTAAATATCAAAAACAAAAAAATAAAGTTAAATAATTTTCATTACAAACTTAATGTGTTTCAAAAAAAGTATTAAATGAACTATTAAAGGTTAATAATATTTATTACAAATTAATATAAAGGTGGAGCTAGAGGAGGAGGAGGAGGCTAGTGGTTATACTGCCAAAAAGGATGAGGCGCACATGTTTGACCACTCTATGATGCAATGGTCATGACCACTTCGCGAAGCTGTTCATGATCCACTTTTTGTTGTGTATGCTACGCTTTGAGTTGTGTATACTTTGCTGATAGGTGGTCGTATATTTTGGTGAGTTGAGTCGTGTGTTGCTGTAAGGCCACGAACTCTTTAGATTGGGTGCTCGATACTAAGTGGGAGCTCCTAACGGTTGAAACACTACGGGTTATCCGCAAGTTCTCGGCCGTAGTGTTGGAGAGCCCATAAACCTAATTTTTATCGGATCCACCAGATGATTCAACCTCCATCCGCAAATCACAAATCTGGACTGAATTCTGAACGGGTCAAAGGATTGTCAACATATCTCTCCCTTAATCGACTATTATAGGCCTCTTGAAAATAAAAAAATAATCATCATATTCAATTCAATAAAAATAATAACTTACAAAATAAAATGGTTGAACAAACATATCACGAAGTGTTAAGTATGGTTGTCAATGAACTGTTGTATCCCCTTTTGGCGATCTTGACTCCGTACGTGTATTTCTATTAACAACTCAATCGGGCTCGGCTCACATCCAAGAGATGTAGCCTATAATAAAAAAGATGAATGAACAACAAATTAATTTAACAATATATTTTATTTAAATTAATCTTAGCATCCGTTTCGTATGTGCAGTAAACAGAACGGAGCCGCCGGTGTGCGTTGTCACCGAGCCATGAATTGGCCGATTCTGATTGCTAGAACCGGATTGTGAGCATCGTTTTGAACCGCTTAGAAGTCACGTGCTCAAGATAGTACGGTCATATATCTTCCGGGATGTATATCGGTTTGAAACCCCTCCAAACCGCCATGTCGTTCCAACCTTGGAGACCCCTATCTCTCATGGTTTTTTTTACCTTTTTTTATGCTTCATACCAAAAATCACGCAACCTATGTCCATAACGAGAAATTACATTTTGAAACATAAATTTTTGTCTAAAAAAATCTTGTATTGTTTTCGATGTTACCTAGTTGCCGCGTGATTTTCCCACACACTCCTTACAATAGTGTTTTGCGCACTATCCTAGTAGAATTTATCCTGTGTATACATAATTAATTTTAAATAAAAATAATAATTTATTTACACATATATTAGTAATTCCTTAGAAATATGCTGGAAATTAGAAATTAACACCAACCTCAAATCTGTCAAACCATGCATTTATTTGAGGTATCCATTCAGGATGTTTGGATACCTGACTCCATTGAAATAATAGAATCTCCATCGATAATTTAAACACCGATGATATTACTTGGACAACCTCAATATTTATGAACCTAAAAATAAAATAAATTAATGAAATATTGATTAGTTGTTCATAAATTATGCTATAATTTAAAAGAAAATATGAAAACCTTAACAAACATACATTGAAAGGTCGTCTTTCCACTATGCCTTATATTTACAAGTGAATTGATTCCGCTGCAAAGGCATGCCACCTCTACGCTGTGAACCCACACTAGAAGAGGCAGCATCAGTTGACTGTACAAGTGGCGTAGGTGCTATCATAACCCAATTCTGGTTATTCTTCAAAAATCAATTTCTTTTTCAGAAAAAAATAATAATAATGGTTGGCAATGTGGAGAAAGTACACTAGGGAATCAAGCTGCAATTTGGAGGAAATTCAAGGCCTAATTGTATCTTATTATACCAAAAAATGGAGAAACAAATACAAATTCAAGGTCAAATTAAATGATTATTGGATGAATTTGCTTAAAAATTAAGTTCAGGGACATAATTAAATTTTTTTAATAAGCCAATTTGATTTAATCATAGGCCAAATTAAATTTCAATTATGTTTAAGAATTAATTTGGATCTAATTGAAGGATTTAATTAAGTGCAAGGATTTAATTATACTTTAAAATGGGTCAAATTAATTTTATTTGGAGCTTAATTAGTAAAAAATTAAGTTTGGGAGCCTAATTTGGGCTTAATTGAGAAGATTGGAATTTTAAGAAATCAAATTTAATTTTTATCATGTCAATTAATTGAAATTAGTGGCTAAGTTGCAAGAAAATTAAAGTTTTATAGTCAATTGAAGCTAAATTGAAGAAATTCAAAACTAAGGACCAATCTGCAAAATCCGCCACAATTTAGTGGCTTAATTGGTAAAAACTAAGGGCCAAATTGAAAAAATTAAAAGTTTAATAGTTAATTAAAGGTTCAATTGACACAATCTAATACCAAGGACAATATTGTAAAAGGCATGTAACTTTGGAGTTCCAATTGAAGTTCGTTAGGGGCTTAATTGTATTAAATCAAGAATTTAGGGTTAATTAGTGGTTTAATTGAAATCAATTGAAAGATGGAGGACTGAATTGAAAATCATTAAAAATCCCTAGTTAATCCAAAATGACATCGTTTTGAAAAAAAAAAAACAAACGACGCGTCGTTTGACATTGTTCATTGTCTTCCCCAATTTTGTCCAAAAATGCTGCATGAGTGGCTACTTTTTAGATGAATTTAATGCTTTATTGCTCTGTAAAATTTAACAAAAAGTGCACCAAAATGATCCCATTTAGTTTCTTTACAATATCAACTAAACAGTTCAGTCTGAATGGCAACGAGACGGCGCCGATGCTGGCTTAAAGAGGTCAACTTAGGCAGCCTTTTCTGCAGATTGAAGAGCTCATGAAGCACACTTTGAGCCAACGGTTGGGATGCTTCCCGACCAAATCAAGGGCTGAGTTTTTTTACTTATGTAGACGAGATTACTCCCTTCCATAGGCTATAAATAGAGGTGAAGTTGATGGTTTGAGGAAGGAGAAAATCGGGTCCAAAGTTGGCAAAAAAAACTAGCCCTTCTAGCCCCGTTTCTAAAGTTTTTCCTTCCCTCCCTCTCTCCGTTGTTCTAGCCACCAATAGCTTATTCACCACCAGCTCTGCCACAGGAAGCCACCTACCGACCACCAAGTGCCACTGTGAACTTTTCTCTCTCCTCTTTGCAGCTCCTCCCATTCTCTTCTTTTTCTTTGTTTCCTTTGCCACCGGCAACCAGTTCCAACCACCGCCTCCACCACCGCACGACGTGTTTCATGGACAGACCACCATCGCACCCGGTAGCTGCTCCTCCATCAAGCTCCTTTTTTCAGCAACTGACATGACTAAAATATTGATGTCTTCTCCCAAGTGTAGGAGTGTCGAAGTAATAAATAACTCGGCAAGACCGGGGTCGAACCACATGGAGGTTAATTGTATAAATTATAAATAACAATAATA